TGAGGAGACTTTTACAATTTCAAATCAGCAATGATTTTGAATGACATCAAGCCTACTATTATTTACAATAGAAATACATCCACACACATATTAAAGATCGACTTTAAAAATACCGAAAAGGACGTTTTTCAAATGCTATTTCTCCAATTTTTTTTAAAAAAGATTACCATTCTATCATTTTCAACTTCTTTTCATCAATTCCTAATCGTCGTGCGGCAATAAGAGTCGGCACATTTTGCTGACATGTTTCGCTTTCACCACCTAATATCATCACATTACTTGGTGCTAGCAACAGCACGTTGCGACGACAAATCGTACCGCCATAGATTAGAAGCTTGAAAAGAAGAAAACTTCAAGACAAGGTCATGATCCAATTATAGCATATTTCCGCATTTTAAATACATGAAAATTTGTGCATATGCAAAGCAAATGCCTAATTAAATAAAGTAACTATGAAGAATGAATATGAGCATGGAAGATTAAGTGTACATCAGGAATTTAAAAGAAGAAAGAAAGTCATCATCGCATGATTGCATCGCGAATGACAAAATATCGTTAAAATGGCCTGATTAATGAAATGTATCAGACTTATTAGAAAATTAATTAAAAGGACCTCAACAATGTAAATTAAACCTTTGTTCCACATGACAAATTCCCGCATAACTCATCAATTTTCTGGTATTCTATAGCGCGCAATTTTCTTTGACCATCCGTTACTTCCATTAAATACATTCGATTTGCTGGATTCAAATCCTTCAAATAAGGCTAATAAAAGCTCACAATCAGAACATCCATAAATTGAACTATAAATAAATCGCAAAGCAAAATATGCAAAACTATCTAGAAGAACTTGAATTATTAAAATCATACTTTTTTTTCAAGCTACAATTTCATATAACTTACTACTATCACAGAAAGTGACAGTATAACAATTATAACTTGAAAATTGCCATTTTTTAAATTGAAAGATATCAATATATCTGGAACATCAATGTGTGATAAAAATAGAACATAATTTTTCCTTTTATAAAAATTCGACAACATTTTATATTGGATTAGAAATAAAACTCGAAAAGAAAGAAGAAACTAACAAATTATAAATTCTTGCTTTTTCTGGCATAAAATTTAGATTCCAAACTTGAATTTTCGATGAAAGCAAATAGGAATTGTTGAAACGTTGTGGATTCAGACCAGATTAATCTGGATTGAAAAATCTCAGTTTTTTTAATGAATAATTTGTTCGTCGGAATTTCTAGAAATTTATGCACGAAAATATCAAACAACCTTAGTTCCCTCATTTGGCTCGCAGTGAAAAGAACTGTGATCTACATTGCTCCCAAAATTTTGGTTTAACTTCGAATACATCGAGGTATATATATCAACCAGCCAGTTTATCTGAAACGAGGTTATGCCAGAGAGGAACAGATAGTATCAGAATACTGAATTATGCTACTTTCAGATAAGCACATCTAAATCCTGAAATTTAAACGTATAACTTGAGAAGAATTAAATTTTATTTAAAATAATTGAAACTTTCGTCTTTATTGTAGTGTTAACACAATCTTACCTGAACAACAACATCATAGTCCAGAAATGCTTTCTTCTCGAATGGTGGCAGACGTATTTTTGGGCGTGTACTATTCGATAGTTCCGAAAAAAGCCATTGTTCATATACGAGTTCAATTACTGTGGGAATATCCTGAATTGCAATAAATCAAAACTTTGAAGTAAATTAAAAATTAGAAGTTAGCTTGAGCAAATTGGAAGTTTTAATAGGAAAGTTGGAAATAGAAAGTTGTGCTCGGACACTTATGTTATTGATAATATAGTGAAAATAAAAGTAATCTACGCTAGGACAGCACTTCCATCTATAGCAGTCAGACTAAAAAGGCCTATTTTGTTTTAAATAATTTCACAGTGATTTCTTAAAAAAAGGAATAGCAGAGATATCATACCGCGTCAGTTCTTTCCACCTGAAGATATTTCAGAACTTCATTCAGCCAAGTTTCTTTCAGTGTTACGTGAAATTTTGAAAATAATTCAATAACGCTAGCTTTCTTTGTATCTGTCATGGAATTCGCTGCTTATCTGAATTTAACCAACATGTTTCAAATGCTTCATGAGTACATAACGCTTCCTTGCGCTCAACGTTCCGGTTACGGTTTCTGATGCTCGAATGGAATTCTACGCATTTTCGAATTCCAACATTCATTAATACTCTCATATTTTTATTCCCCACATCCTCATTACCGTTGACTTTTCGCATTCGTAACATTTGTTCCTTGCTTAATTCTCCGATAACATTTGATATTTCATCTATTCTTCGTATCTATAACCTTTAATCTTTCATTTCATTCAGTTTTATTTGCGTTTCATAATTTGAATCGTATGTGAACTGAACACTTTACGCTTAATACTTTTTGGTGTCACGTGTCACGCAACATACTGCGCATCTCCACGTCCTCTATTCTCCCTCTCTTCCACCTCTTCACGTTACCGCTAGATTCTAAACGCTTTCTCTACCATATGTCCTCTATTTCTCTGCTCCAATAGTACTATACTCTTTTCTATGCTTTCGTATAAACCGACTTCTCATCATTCCTAATGCACTCTATCTATTAGTCCATCAACCTGATTAACCTTTCGGTAACGTTACAGCTTGTACTTTTTCATTATTCCTTTCCTTTCCTTTCTCCCTCTCCCTTCCTTTTCGTAATTACGTCTTACTTTTGCAATTTTACTTACTTCACGCGATCCAAGTATCAACTGTATTTCTTCTACTTCATTACTGCCACTATTTTTTCCATTTTTCCCACTTTTCTCACTTTTTTCACTGCTACCAGCCTAGGATCAGTTTACTAAAACTGTGAACTGAGTAGGGCTTTGTCGTAATTTCTATATAATTTATAGTTTATTGAAGTTTCCTTTCAATCAAATGTTTGTTTTTAAATTATGACAAAATCTTATTTTCCTGTAAGATTACAGATTTTTTAGGGAATAGCTTGAAAATAAAGAAATATTGTAGTACTTTGGCTGATATTGTGATGAATGATTTGTAACAATTGTTTTTAATCTCTGATTTTAGGTGTAAAATGATCGATGGAATGTTGGAAAGCAATGATGCTAATTCAGTTGTATTGCATGGGGAATCAGTATCTGAAAAAGATCCTATAAATGAGTTAGTTAAAGAGGATGAAGTGCAAGAACAGTCTATTTCAAAGGATAAGGAACCAATGAATATTGAAGAATCAATTTCATCTTCAAACAAACTCACTAATTTTGAAGGGCAGCTCTCTGTAACGAATGGTACATGTGACGATACACTTGTGAAGAAAGACGAATTAGATATTGACGAAGTGGACAAAAAGCCAAGTTCACGTGTGCAAATACGAAATATGCCACCCTACCTGAAATACAAGCAAGTCAAGGAGCTTCTTTCAAAGTATGTAAGGTTTTTAATTGAACTTCAACAAGTTATCCTTATAGTTTTACACGCCTTATGTCTGATTTTATGAAACTCGTTTAGCGAGATTGCGTTGTTTTTTTAATGTAAAAGAGCCACACTATCGTTAAAACTAATTTTGCATGCTAAACTTAAATCCACAAAGTTATAGAGATGTAATGTTAGTTCATATGGAAATCATTTCTTTTTCAGGCAATTGAGTAAGTTCGTTGTAAAGAACATTCGACATACGGGCATAACAGTGTTCTTTTCGTTACCGACTCCGGAAGAAGCTGTTGCTGCAGTTCAGATTTTTGATGGTTTTAAAATTAAAGGTCGGATTTTACGAGCCAAGATAGCACAACCAGAACAACTGAAAGTTGTAAGTCAACGCAGCTCATTTATACTTTTAAAGGATCTTTCTGAACTTTGGCTATTATGTTTCACTTTTTTTTACGGATTATCAAAGCTGAAAAAAGTTGGTTTGATAATCCAAAACCGATCCTGCAGTACGTAGTACGTGCATATTTATGTGATATGAAACAAAAACAGAATAACAGATAAAATAGTATTGGCATCATGTTGCTTTAAACATGCTTGACTAGTAGCTACGGTCAAATTTCTGTAAATCTTCAATTTACAGAAACCATTGAATGGTGACCAAATAAAGCGTACAGCACGAGAACGTGTAACGCCACTAGCTGATAAGCCATATAGCGAGCAACTCGAAATTAAGATGAACGATGTGAAACGAATTGCAATGAACTTTTTAAAAGAGATGATTAATGCTCATGTGAATGGTGCCAATAGAATCGACATTGAATCACTAATTGAATCTGTGAGTTCATTTGCGGATTTCCAGATCTATTTTTTTTTCATGTCAAGTCTTATGCATGAAAGCGTCGTATAAATTCTTTGTGAGTATTAAATGCTTCCAAAATTAACATTAGAAGTAGTAAGGCATAGCAAACTTAGTTGTCAAACTTAGTTGTTATAACTTTCTGCATATAATAACCATATAATTTGTAGGTCTGTAGACTTAGAATAGTAAGGATTATGCAAATAGTTATCAGATCGCTTTTTTCTTTTAAGAATTAAATACAGTATTTCCATCCCGTAATGCAGAACTGTAATGATTTCTTTATCTTAATGATTTCAGATTCGTCCCTCACCTCGTATCACAGAATATCGAAATAAATGTGAATTTACAGTTGGTCGTAATATCGATGGTGACATTTGTGTTGGTTTTGTTGGTGGTCGATTTACAGCTAATCAACATTTTGTATTACCCGTGGATACGTGTGATAACATATCAGCACATATGAAGAGAATTGTAGGAGCTTTCGAAAAATTAGTGGTGGAAAGTGGTGAACCAGTAAGCGTTATGCTGATAAACATTTGCTTTTTCTAGGACCTCACATCAGTTCTAAGTTTTTCCCTGTAGTCTGAAAACATTCATTTGTAGGTATAATTATCTTGGGGATTATTGTCACTCGGCAAGTCTTGTGATCAGAAGAAAGTATATCATTCATATTGTTGTCCCAGGTATAAGCCATGATTTTCCCAACATTATAATCATTGATTTTTTCTCAAAATTATTTGAGAACAGTGGTTGGATAATGAATGCAAATAAAAAAAGAGAATAGATTTGAAAATCCTCCAATTTAAAGTTAATAGCTTATGTAGGAATTAATTCGTTCATATAAGTTTTCTCAAGGACGGTATTTGCAGCCATTCAATGAATTTGAACGGAAAGGTGTGTGGAAAATGCTTTCCATTCGTGAATTTGGTTTGGATGTAATGATGATTGTAACCATATTTCCCATGGAAGACAAAGAGCGCGAAAAAGCTTTGATAAAAGTTGTACAAGAACGGTTTCTCCATCTGAACAATTTCTTTGATGAAAATAGTCTTTTTCACATTACTTCACTGTATTGGCAGCGGTTAGCGAATGCTAGTGATCCGGTTATCTATGAACATATTGCAGGTATATTATTCTTTTTTTCGTCATTATAAATGTTATTTTTTACTACTTTTTCAGGAATTTTATTTTAAAACATCTATAATTTAGATCAAAATTTTGGAAAAGCTTTATAATTTCAAGATTTTAAGTGTATTTTTCTGTTTTCGAAAATATTTGACAGTAATGTCATGCGTTTTAATTCGAATTTCGGTTTTAATTAGAAAGAATTAGGTTGTTCTTAATCGTAAGCTCGTTTTTCTTGCTGCGGACTTAGCGTTCGATATTCATGGTCATAATTGTGAAAATCTTTTTTTGTAATCTTTTTCTTTAAACTATATAAATACTGGAGCACTAAAAGTTTGACAACTATTGTGGTTTTTTTATAATTCAAATTGCAATATAAAACGTTTATTAAATGTTTGTCTTTCAATACAATTTTAGAAATCTTGAAATTGTAGATTAGAGTAAAGTCTTTTTTTCTTTACTGAGCGCAATCAGGATTTCAATCATAGATAATTTAAAAATTTTGATGGAAGATGAACTTTTTTTTAAATTTTTAACAGGTATTTTTTTTTAATTCTTAATTTTTAACAGGTACCCCCTACATTTATGAAACAATTTTGGATGCCCGGTTTCGAGTTTCACCTTCATCATTTTTCCAAACAAATAGTGCTGGTGCTACAGTACTGTATAAAACGATTGCTGAAAAATTTGATTTGTGTAAAACGAATAATGCAGTTGAACAGGAAACGATCGATGCTAACTTAGTTACTGCAATTTCTGAAAAAGATTTAGAAGAATCTTCAAATGAAATCAGCGAGGAACCAGAAATGAAGATAAAGAAGCTTGAGAAAGTGATTCGATTTTTTAATAATTTGAACTGATTTTTTAATCCTTAACAATTTTAACTTCATGTAACCGCTATATTTATTTAATTCGAACATTACAATCTGCTATTCTTTTATAGTTCGAAACAAAATAATATTTAGAAGTGTAGTATTATCTGAACAATTAAAATATTTTTAGGTGGGAATTGTTGAACAGCAACAGACAACTTTGATCTTAGATATCTGTTGCGGTACTGGAACGATTGGAATTAGTTTAATGAAATTGGCAAAAACCGTTAATCGCAAGTTTTTAATAGGTATTGAAATTATTCCGGAAGCTATTGAGGATGCAACGACAAATGCGAATGATAACTTGCCACCAGATAGGTATTCAGAAAAACTTTTTATTTCAAAAAATGGTTTATGAATTTTGTCAAAGTTCAGAAAGTAATAGGAAAGAAATTATCGTTTCTGCGTTGATATCACGAGAGGATAAAAAAATAAGTTAAAAATATATCTTTTGTGAACAGGAGTAAGAAGAGAGAAGTTAATCAAGTTTATCGTTAAAGTATTTGGCAAGTAAATTGTAATGTTACTGTATCTGCCTGTTGGAATTTCCAGCTACAAGTTTGTGTCCGGTAAAGCTGAAGATGTTTTCTTTCGTTTGGAACGACTGGTACCATCATGGGTTGATTTGAAAACAGCAAATATAATAGGAGTAATAGATCCTCCACGAGCTGGGGTTCACGAAAAAGTAGTTATTGGATGCCGAGCGGTATGTATTTTTCGTTTCTGTTTTTTATCTTTTTAATCTTTAGCCATTTCATAAAAATTATTGAAGATTTAGTCATTACTTAAAAAAAAGCACACCTGTACAAATTGTTAATTCATCATAAGTTTATATATTTGAAATTACTAAATTCTGAAAGAAGATACTGATTTGAATTTGCTAAAGATATGAAATTTTACATAGTCAGTCGTCTTAATATCGACTTGGAGGAATGCGAATTCTACCAAGATATTAGATAGCAATTTTCAATTTCAGCTTGCACAGTTGAAAAAAATTGTTTTTGTTTCGTGCAGTCCATCTTTGGCATTGAAAAATATGGTTGATCTCTGTCGGCCGACATCTAGAAAATTCGAAGGTGAACCATTCAAGCTAACTTCTATCACACCGGTTGACATGTTTCCGCAAACATCTCACTGTGAATGGGTTGTACAATTGGATAGATAGATTGATTTTTGTACTGTTGTTTTGATTAATTCGTTCAGTATTTTTCAAAAGTATTCTAGACTTTAATGATAGTGCATATCTTATTTTTTCGATTACTTCTTAATATCCAGTATTTTATGTCGATTTTTTATTTTGTGATCTTAAAATTTTGTTGTCATAATAATGCTGCATTTTTCTCAGTTGCAATTATGAGGTATTGAAGAAGTGTTTTTTATATTGGTGTTAAAAACTGTTTCTTTTCTTTGTCCACTTTTAATTCGATTTTTACAGAATAATTAAAGTTTTCCCATTATTATTGAAAGCTATCATCAGGGTTGATAGTCGTCAACTGATGAGAAATGATGCAATTGAAGGCGCTCAATTTCATTTTTAATACACATTTTTGTACGTTGAACATTTTTGCATCCACAATGGAGACAAAATAATCATTAGAACAGTTTTTTTTTTCAATGAGAAGATTCAGGCAATATAAATTTTCATATTCATTTTCCTTTAAAATTACTTTCCTGTTATTTTCAAATTGCTATTTGGTCTTGCTGTTTGATTATATATGTTTTAGCAGTTGAGTTTCTTAGACAGAGATGCAGCAAACTTAAATTTTCCATTAAGCAAGGCAAGATTGTTTTATATATTTGACGGTCGAAGTATTGCAAGGAAATAGGTTTATTCAATTTCTAGTAAAATTAAATATAAAATTGTGACAACATTACAAAAAGTACAGAGTAATTTAATATTGGAATAAAGCTGGCTTTTAAGATCGTATGACAATTCTAGTTGTAAAATTCACTGCAAGGGTAAAGCTTTGATGTATACTGTTCTGTTTTTTTTGTCCTTTTTTTAGGCGAATCATATTTAAGCATTCATGGATACCGTTGGTAAGGTAATTTTGTTCGTAATTTTATTTTAAATTGAGAAAAAATGATTAGTTGGGAAATAGGATTTGTTGAGTGTGTTCGTATAACTCGGCTTAAATCTATTTTAATGTTAGGGTCAAAACAGTCCGGGACGTTGAGTATGATAGAGTTTTTGTGCAGTGTTATCATAAACCTTGAAAGGATTGCCTGATAATTGTTTCATGTTACCCGATCTAAATACACTTAGGATTTTACTAGTTGTAACATTCAAAGAGAGAAGTAGCAGCATCTTTTTTAAAAGGAAATTTAATTTAACAAATTTTCTGGCCATTATTAGCCGAAATAAATTGCATATGTGAGGGAAATCTTGCAGACTATAAAATGCAGAGCGGCAATTGCTTGGGAGCCCAAAAAACCATTGAAAATTGAAGAAATTGAAGTTGCACCACCGAAAGAATGTGAAGTACGAATAAAAGTAAATTTACAAAATTTATTATTGAAAATAATCTTTGAATAAGGATGAATTTCAGCTCAGGGATTAAACAAAAGAAATATTCAATTGAGCAGTAACCTCTCGATTTTTTCTCCTCTAAGTTTCGCCTAATGATTTTATTGAATTACAGTTAGTTTATTTAGGTTCTGTACACTGCGATATGTCATACTGACGCTTATACATTGGGTGGTGATGATCCGGAAGGAGTGTTTCCGTGTATTCTTGGACATGAAGGTGCTGGCATAGTGGAAAGTGTTGGTAGTAATGTGACATGTGTGAAACGCGGTACATTAATTCATCATTAGTGTTGTAATACCTTGCTGCTCACGTAAAATATATAAGTCTTTATCACACATTTATTTTTTATTATGTTAATGGGAAAAGATTTGCTTCATAAAAAATGTGCTAAATAATTTTTTAAATTTTCGTTTCATTTTTTTCAAATTTTCAGTTAGAATTATTTTGTTTTGTATAATTTTTCAAAATCGTTCGTTATTAAGGGGATCATGTTATTCCGTTATATACACCACAGTGTAAGGAATGTAAATTCTGCCGTAATCCGAAAACAAACTTGTGTCAACGGATTCGGTGAGATTTTTTTCTGGAATTACTAAAACAGAGAAATTTTGTAATGTAATTATTAACTGTATATTCTCTCTAACGTCCTCTTATTAATTTAATATTCATTTTAACACCAAATTAATAAGTGAATACAAGTAATCAAGCGATTTGGATAATCAATTACTTGTTTTTTCTTCTTATCGTTGCGTGGTGTTGTGGATGGTAATAATACATTGCTAATTCCAGCAATGTTTTTTATTATGTCTTTGAATTATGAAAGTTGCTAAAAAAGGCATAATTTCTGACATATTAAGGATAACACAGGGACAAGGTTTAATGCCCGATAAAACGACGCGCTTTTCTCAACGTGGCAATACAATATATCACTTTATGGGATGCAGTACTTTTAGTGAGTATACTGTTGTATCACAGTATTCTCTCTCGAAGGTGTCTTGACTTTTCAAATTACTTCCAAGATTAATTAAATTGCAAGAAGGCACATAAGAGCTTTGCAGAACTTTGGTTAGAAAAAAATCACTTTCTGCTTGAACTTCAATAAATTTTGAAACTTTTCTTAAGATGATGATGAGTTTGAAATTAATACTATCCTATTTTCGAAAGATCAATTATGATAATTGTAAATTATTTCAAAATGTTTAAGATACTCTGCTTATTATGATTTCTTCTGTATTTTAAGGTACCGTATAATGCACCGCTGGATAAGCTTTGTTTGCTTGGCTGTGGTGTTTCAACCGGTTATGGAGCAGTAGTAAACACTTGCAAAGTTGAATCAGGTTCTACCGTTGCAGTTTGGGGCCTTGGTACTGTTGGGTTAGCCGTCATTATGGGAGCTCGAATTGCTGGCGCCAGGTTGATCGTGGGAATTGATACGAACGAAAAAAAATTTGAGAAAGGTAGTGTAAAGAAGCAGTTGAGGAAATTGCTGTTCAATTCCAGCAGTAAAAGATGTTTAAATGATTTATTTTTTGATAATTTTGATCTCAACATCATTATGGGAGTTAAAAAAGACATCATTATGTACATTTAAGCTATTGAATTTGGCGCAGATGAATGCATTAATCCAAATGATATCCCAAAGGATCAGCCATTGCAAGTATTCCTCGTAAACAAATATGATGGTGGCTTCGATTATACCTTTGAATGCATCGGACTTGTTGAAACAATGGTTTGTTTCACGATATTTTTAGTTTGTCAGGTGGAATGGTACCAAAACATATATATATTTTTTGAAATATTCCTAAATTATTTCTTTGGTTGACTAGAAAAAGAAACTTGAATGGTACCTTAATCTTGTCGAGCAGTATTTTACCCTTTTTTTAATAATCAGATTCTTTGCTAGTAATATAAAGTAATGTAATATTTCTATGGGCTTTCGAAAAAAGTCTTTCGCTGATGAATATAGTGGTTTTCGCTAGCATTTTTTTTACATTTCAGCGTCAAGCACTGGAAGCGGCACATAAAGGCTGGGGTATGTCTTGCATCATTGGTGTTGCTGCGGCAGGGAAGGAAATATCAACGCGTCCTTTCCAGTTAGTTACTGGTCGTACATGGAAAGGATCGGCTTTTGGAGGTTTCGCCAATCATGTTTCATTTTATTAATTTTAGAGATGGAAATAGAGATAAATGAAATTTTTATTCCCTGTTGTCGTTTCCGGAAGAATTTAAATTTAAACAACGACATTGTTTAATTTTAGCCGTTATTTTGAAATAAAACGTCTGAGTAAAAACTACCTAACAGTAATAGTTAAATTCCAGGATGGAAAAGTGTTGACGGTATTCCGAAACTAGTTGATGAGTATCAAAAAGGTAAAATAAAACTGGATGAATTCATTACCAACCGTTATGATCTAGCAGAAATCAACACAGCCTTTGAAGCGTTACATTCAGGCGGCAGGTTTGCTTTTTTTTTTCAAAAATTTGGCTTATTTAAAAAAGATTATTTTTACTCTGTGTTCCATTTGTCTCATGGTAAAAATCCAACAGTTTATTTATTTTATTAGTTTTAAAAAGCTATGAATTTTTCTCGTCCAAAATCTATGTTCCATTTTTAGCTTGCGCTCAATTGTAAAAGTTAGTGAAATCTGAAGGATTCCGATGATACGATGATATGTATTACATTATCATTCATATTCTGTTAATTGTTCATATCCGATTATATGATTAAAATTATTTTCATGCATCACTTCCAACCAATTACGGCTCTTATCTTTAAATACTTTTATTTTATTGTTTCTGAGTTCATAAATTGTCATGTCAATATGAATTTTTTATCTCAGTAAATATGATGATGGGTGATAAGCTTTTTTGCTGATTAATGAAGAAACCTTAAAACAGAAATTCTCCAGAAGATAAATTTCAGATTATTAAAGAAACAATGGTGAAATTACTTTTTAAAATTGGTTTCAGTCTATATAATCAAAAAATTCAAAAATAAAAAATACAAAGATAATGAGCGATCTTCGACAACAAAATTGTAGGGAATAATTAGTAATGTAAGTTAATATTTAACGGTACAAGTCATTCCTAAAAAAGCATTATGAGAACATTGCATACATTCTTGAAAAGAAAACAAACATATTTAGGAGATAAAATCACATATTATGTAAATGTTTCCCGAAACGTCTACAAATCTCCATGAATTTAGGAAATAGATACTATTAATTAATGATAATAAGATGATTAGCAAACTTACTCATCGGCATTGCTGGTAGTAGCAGCATTAACTATATAATTTTATCTCATATATATTTCAGTTCAAGCATTTAAGATTTATCTGTTCTTTCTTTTTATCTCTAATTAATTATTTTTATTTTTCAATTTTGTCCACTATTGATATTTGATAGAATAAGGGGAAATTAATATTATACAGCATATCCATATTATATAACAACTGGAATAACTTCAAAACTTGTTTTTAAAAATGTTGACGTTTTGGTATGATTTTTCTTTTGGAATGCAGACTTTTATCGGGTAATATTTGATTTGGTTGAGTTTTTTTATTTTTATTTTTATGCCGTGCAATGTGGATAGAACAAAAGCATTTTAGTGAATGAAATATTTAAACTGTAAAATGAAGCCTGGAGTCGTGTCATTTTTTTTTACAATTTAGTAGACAATTTTGTATTTTCCATAAATACATAAAGATCACAGAGAGAAAAATATTCCATCTTAATCACAGGCGTGTCAGCAACCGATCGTATCGCTTTTGCTTTGATTAGCGTGAAAAAGTTATGTTGGTATCTTCATTTGTGAAGTGTAGAATTGGCTTGATTCATTTCATCTTTGCTTTACTTTTTATTTAAGCTCACCTAATTATATTGTCTACCTTAGAAGTTAATTTCAAAATACATTGAAAAGATTTTAAGGTGCTCTTTGCGGTGGTCTCATTTTAAATCGCACAAACTAAAGCGATTGAATTAAAAAATTCCAAAAATAAGGACAAGTGAAAGTTGGACTCATTCGAAAAGCACTTGCAATTAGTTATTGGTAATGTTATACTTTTCTGGGTGATCCTCTTCAAGTTGACTAGAAAGAAATATATTTTTTTGAAAAAGAGCTAATCTTATTCAATTTCCAAGAAAAACAGAGCTTTCAAAAAACTCAACTGGAATCTTAGGATACCGGTTGAAGCAATGAATCTCACTCTGAATGTGGATAAAGTTCAAAAACTCATCAGCAACGAGTACAAAGCATGTTTTGTTTTAAAGCCGATTCTCACTCTCCCGATGATATTCGTGGCATGTAATTCAAACTTATAAACTGCAACACTGAAGACCAATACATCCCAGAAACAATTAGAAGCTGCGAGCCAAAAATTTTAAAGAAACCAACAGAACATATCGCAAACGATACTTTTTACCGAAGCGGGCGTACAGTGCAAAATCGAAGCCCAATTTCGGATCGATCTAATAACATATTCTTGATATCCATTTTGTTGCCAATCAATTATCAGACTACCAAATATTAATCCCAGCTCATTTCTAATTGCATTTAAACTGTTTAAATGAACTATCTCTTCGAAGGTAATCACAATTAAGCTGAATAATTAGAAGGAAAGTATAACCAAGCGTGAAATTATGTTTAGGCTTGATATTCCAATAAGATCAGTTGAATGGTTACACTGCCTACTGACAATAGACAAACAGGAAATGCTACATTAACCAATTACGTTAAAAAAGATGAGTATGATAAGCCGAGAAACGGTCCTCCCAGCACTGCTTCAGACCAGATGATCTAGTACCAATGCAGAAATTATTCTTACCCCTTCATTACTCTTTCCGGATAATCCACAATTTGAGAATCACTGAAGAAACAAGCAACTTTTAAAGTTTCGCTTTTCTAGCCTGGTTAACAAATAAATTACATAAAAATTTAGCTTCGGATGGATCTTTTAAAACGCGAACATACGTTGCGTTTAACATAACAACCACCAGTGTACTCTCCAGTGCATGACTGACTCCCTTGCCATACAAGCAATCAAGAAATTTTATAGTAAAAAAGTCAATAACAAAGATAAATTAATCAACAATAGTATCATCAGCTTTCGTGCACCTCGTATAGACGAGCTGGCCGCCGTGATGTACTACACATTTGATCAATCCTGCAAACATATGAAAATTTTAGAAATGTGCACAAAAAGTCAAAAATAAGACATCATCAGCCTATCTGTTAGTGAAATGTGGTTTCTAGAATATCTAACAGCGTTAAATATTTTCGAATAGAACAAGGAAAGAGACGTTGCAAAGTTCATCAAATAGCATGAAAAAAATTAGTAAAACGATCGTTACTGCTACAGCGAATTCAAGAATTTAATGCCACGACGATCGCTATGTCAAGAAATCATTGTCATTTTGCAGTAATGATAAATTCATGAGAATACTGCATACTATGAGAAAATTTTACTCGAGGAAAATCGTCCTTATTCTGCATTCAGTGTATCAATTCTGCTTAGTTCTTCAATTTCAACAAGATTTTTAGTGTTTACAGTTACTTGCAAAATATGCGAACAAAGAATAATACAAACCTTTTGCAAGAAGCTCTCGGAGTCCTTGTTTTGCTAAAGATGCGCGAACCTTTAATCTTTCCGAAACTACCGATGGTGTAATAAGCTTATACGTGATAACCTGCAACAAAAGCATTTTGAACAACTGTTTTGAATATTAAGATGTTTCAAGTCTATTGAGGAAGTATAACTGTGCTGTGTGATAAAACCTCTTAAATGACTCGAAAATCATCTCGAATGACATCTTCCAGCACACCGAGCAATACGCCCAGCTGAATCCATAAAAATTAGATCCTGTGCTTAAAGCTTCTGAAGCACAGATCTCACTCTGTTTTGATTTTCAATCATTACATCTCTTATACTACATTGCGACTCATAAAAAATTAGATTTGGAAAAACATACTTCTTTATATAGCTTTTCATAAGTTGCTTTATCAAAAAGGACCATATTGTTCAGCTTGTCCCGAACTTTTCCTTTGGACCACTTCTTTTTCTTGGCCTTACCACCTCCCCCACCTTCCTTCTTTTTCGGCGCCTTCGCTACAGCTTTTGAGTCACCTTTTCCACCCTTACCAGCTTTCGCTGACGCCTTTGGAGGCATAATCGTATAAAAATTCTGGAATAATAAAATAGGAAAGTCAAATATTTAAACAAATCTTACACTTCCTTATTTCGAACCAATAAGAGACAATTCTTCAAGTTTCACTATCTTATTTATAAAAATTATGAAGCGAGAATTAATACTTGATTATAACTTCACGTCACATCTTCGTTCCTACTTTTAAACTTTAACCAAAATGCCGAACAAAAATCCAATCAATAAAAAACCTTCCGTAACATGAACATAAAATGACTGACTGATAAAATATTCATTTTATTTGATTATTCTATTTATTTAACTATTAAACAGCATGAAATATTCCGATAGCTACGTTAACATCAGCAAACACCTCGGTACCACGTCGCATTGCCACCAACATCACCCATCACAACCACATAAACCGCACCCTCCCTCCATCACTCGCCCACTACCAAGCAATAAATGCGACCAAAATGCGCTATGAAACGCGTTTTCTCGCATGCAAAAATTTAGAATCATTGTTTTTGCTGGATGGAATGTGTTTGAGATGAAGCACCGAGAAGGTTACAGTGACGTTTAGGGAAATGTGTTATTATTTATTTATATGCTATAAAAATGTTATTTCATAGCTATGTATGCTGGATAGTCACATTTTAAGGGTGCAATTTCGTACATAAATCAATAGCTAACATTATAGCTAATGTTATTTAGTGATAAGCATTCTGGTGATTGCGTTAGGAAATTATTCACCATTATCATATTCTTCCAACGCATACATAACTCACCGTTTATGAGTCATTGAAGAAGACATCAGGAAATGAAAGAAATATCGGTCCTTCTCAGCAAAATGTTTTGTTTTTTTGTTGTCTCTGGTTCAATCATGCATCTTTTTTTTATTGTTGAATTAAACATAAACTTTAAAGCAGATGGCTTAATATTGCCACCATTAGTCTTAGCATTTCCGGATGTATTGTAGATCCATTCCACTGATCGTCCCTACTATCTCAATTTTATTAAATTTTATCTGCACTTTTTCCTTGCTAATGACTAATTGATAATTTTTAAATTTTAAATACCTCTTGTTGATTGATTTTCTGAATTGAAAATTGATTTAAATAATTTTAAATAAAAAACTAGCACAATGTCTCCATGAGTTGCATATCGCGTTTCGGATGGCACACGTGGACATTTTCATGTTTAGGGTGATTCTCACTTTCTTTCTTCTCTGGAAGTTTTAAAAATTTGTGGAAGTTTCGGTTTCTTAAAATTATCCTTTAAAATAGGAAGACTTAATCAAGGGAGTAGATTTGTTAAGGATTCGTCTTTGCTATCACAACAATTATGCATATGTTTTCAACCAGTCATTAATGTTATTCTGTGCATGTAAGTCTCGATAAAATACAAATGACAATTGCTTTATCAGTTTTTGTAGTTATTTTTTAACTTATAAAATTATGACTTTATGGCCCGGCCAGTTATCATATCCCAAATATAATGCATCATGTGGTATAAGTATTGGTTAGGTGATTTAAACCATTTAACTGACAGATCACATATTAGAAATTCTTCCTTTTACTTCCTTCCTCCCACTTGAACTGCATATTCTTCCATTGGTCTTTATGATGTTGTTTTTTTTAATTTCAATCTCTCTTTACTCATTAAATATGATATATTTCCCCTCGTTTTATTTGCAAATTATACTAACTGCACAGTTTAAAGGAAAAAATGGCAGCTTGGGAAGAGTATCTGGCAAATCAAACTAATATTGATGGCGTCCAGATGACGTGGAATTTATGGCCACATTCACGAATCGATGCACAAAGACTTATTGTACCTATTGCTGCCTTTTTCACTCCTCTTAAAGTAAGATATCAGTAAGATTTCCTTTTTCAAAAGTGAATTGAAATTTGTAAAGATTAGGTTCTGATATTATTTTTGATAAATTTTTAACAAGCTATTTGAGCTGTTTCTTGAATCATGTCATCTCATTAATTATTTTACATTTCAAACATTCAGGAACGTCCATCAGATCAACCCCATCAGCCACTGCTTGAATATGATCCTGTTTTATGCCAGAAACCATCCTGCAAAGCAGTCTTGAATGCTCTATGGCTAGTGACTTTTCAAATTGCCATTTTGCGTAGAATCCAACTGTTTTTGATTTAAAAATATTCGAATTCAAATAAAAGCTCGAAAAATCGTTTTAGTATGGTCGATTTTCGAAATAAAACGTGGATTTGTCCGTTTTGCAATCAGCGCAATCCGTTTCCTCCACATTACAGTATGATTGCGGAAGACAATCGTCCACCAGAATTGTATCCACAATTTACAACCATCGAATACACCTTGAAGGTAAGTATTTAATGATTAAATGAACGCAAGGAAGTTCTATTGGTACTTACTAACCAATTTTAAAGTATTTATGATGTTATAATTTCCATAACTCGTCTTCTTTAATTTATGTTGCTGTTATTGAGAAATCTGCTTTTCGAGCTTTGGGTGTTACTGATATAGAAAATTTCCTTGGAAGTTAAAAATCTCAGAAAACTTTCACTAACTAGTGCGCTTATTATGAGATAGTGCGCTTATAATTATATTATTCCAACAAATTCGTTGCAGAAAGCTACAACTATGCCACCGATATTTCTCTTCGTTGTGGACACTTGCCTACCACAAGAAGAGTTGAAAGCATTGAAAGAATCCATTCAGACGGCACTTTCCCTCCTTCCTGCCGATGCACTTGTTGGTTTGATAACTTTTGGGCGAATGATTGAAGTACATGAGCTTAATGTACAAGGAATCTCACGAGCTTATGTCTTTAAGGTAAATGTAATTGCGCCACATAAATTTGTAGTAGATAAAAAGGAAAAAATTCATTATTTTCATTATCTTTGTTCCGTTGGAACTATTTCAGAATTTTAATTGATTTTATTGACCGAAAATATTTTGTCTTTTAACGCTCTGATCAGAAGATGAAATTTTAGGGTAGCAAAGAAATTAATCAGAAACAAATTCGAAATGTTCTATCAATGAATATTGGTCGACCAGGCGTCAACGTTGGTGCAGCTCCAGGTGTTCATCAACAACTAGGATCAGGAATAGCAGGTCAAGCATCACAGCAAAGACCTGGTTTCCCCATAGGATCTAGTGTTCCCGGTAGTGGTCCTGCCGTCGTGCAAGGAATGACCGGAAACTGCATACTTCCATTTAACAAGTTTCTTCAGGTGGTTTTTGCAAGAAAGTGTTAGTGAAAATTTTGGGAATTCTAGTTTTCCTATTTTATCAACTGTAATTCATTTTAGCCGATAAGCGATTGCGAAGTGTCAATAAATGACCTTATTGAACAAACCGTACCGGATCGTTGGCCAGTTCCGCAAGGAAATCGTCCTCTTCGTGCGACGGGTAGTGCACTTGCTGTTGCTGTCACTCTGCTTGAGGTTCAAAAATTTTGAATTTTGGAAAAATTCAAAAATTTACTCGTCTATCAAAGAGATTTATTATTTGAAGGTATGTTTTCCTAATACTGGAGCTCGAATCATGTTATTTATTGGTGGTGCTTGTACTCATGGACCAGGAGCTGTAGTGGGTGAAGAACTCAAAAATCCGATCCGTTCGTGGCACACTATAAAGGAAGACAATGCACCGTACATTAAAAAAGTATTAACATATGCGTTATTCTGCTACTTTTTGATCTTTCAAGTAACGAGAAAATTTTAAGGAATATAGTTTTCGAATAAAACGTGACACATGTGAAATATGGGTACATGACATTAGACTAGTTTTTTCACTACAAATGATAGGAAATATTATAATTTAAATAGTAAAACATTAGTTCAGAGCTATAATGAGCACTTCATTTTCAGGCAACAAAGTTCTACGATGGTTTGGCTACACGTGCAGTAAAAAATGGTCATGTAATTGATATCTATTCATGCGCATTGGATCAAACAGGCTTACATGAAATGCATGCATGCTTCAATACAACTGCAGGTTTAAATCAGATATTTTCTATATTGAAGAAATTTTTAATTTATTCTTTTATATTCTTGTGTCTTCTCACAACGCATTTTAATAATACTCATGATATATTCGTAGACGTTTGATGGTCAGATGTTAAACTCTTGATACTTAATGATATCAAACACTTGATTTGCTTGTGAACTACTTTTTTCCTTAAGATTATAATTTTTAAAGGAAACGTAGTCATGGGCGATAGTTTCAAATCATCACTATTCAAGCAAACATATCAACGTGTTTTCGAGAAAGATTACAATGGATTTCTCAAAATGGGTTTTAATGCGACCATGGAAGTGAGTATTTTCGTATATAATTGTTATGTAGAATTTATTTGTTGTTATATAGAACTGTCGGTCTAAGAGAAGTTTGTTTTAAGTTTGGTTGGTTATCATATGATTCCTTTTTATTTGAAGTGTCCGCTACGTTTTAATATTGTTTAATTTTTGCTGCAGTAGATATTTAGTTAGAATTTCCGGAATTCCAAATTTCTAAGCTTCTAAAAAGTACAGAAAATCACATAAGATTCTGCATGGTCTGCAGGTGAAAGTTGGTAATGGTTTGAAAATCGAAGGTGTTCTTGGTTGCTGTGCAAATGGCGGTGTAAAGAATGCTTCAGTATCAGATACGGAAATGGGCATTGGTGGTACTTGTCAGTGGAAATTTTGCTCCATCAATCCACGAACAACAATTGCCGTATTGTTCGAGATTGTTGCGCAGGTTATTCTTTTATACGAATCATTTCTGTTGTAATTTTTATCTCTGTATTACTGTAATGGTAATGATATCCTATTTATTGATATCCATCAAATAGAAAATTCTAGTAGAACGTCATAATTTTAATTTTTTTTTTAGTAAGTTATAACGATTTTTAATTTCCCAATAACCACTATCGGAGCTTTTTAAAAATCAAATATTGCATTTTCTTAATAATAAATATTCCCTATTGCTTTTATAATATTATAGCATGGTTCTGGAATAGCACAAGGTTCACATGGTATGGTGCAATTTGTGACTCAATATCAGCATCCAGATGGACGAAAACGTATTCGCGTTACAACTACATGCCGAAATTGGACTGATATGGCAACTCAGCAGCCGAGCATCGCATACGGCTTCGACCAGGTCATTACTTCATCCTTTCTTCGAATTTATACTTACAGTACAGAATATCAAGCAAGTGATCCAGCTTATCAAAAAAATTTGTTATTCAAATCTGTCAATGAATGCAGTTGTGCAACGATGAATGATTGATCTGTCATATAAATACCGATTCTCTGAGTATTTTGATACGCTTGCTGTACTTTCCTGTTTAAATCCGCCACATGATGATCGTTTTTAGTAAAAAGAAATTTATTGTAAAACATACCATTTTAGGAAGCTGGTGCAGTAATAATGGCTCGATTAGCTTCTTGGCGTGCATCATCAGAAAATGACACACCAGATGCACTGAGGTGGCTGGATAGAAGTTTGATCCGTTTATGTCAGAAGTTTGGTGAATATCATAAGGTGGATGTTCCTCGGTTTTTCTATTTTGGAACTTAATTCTATCAGAATACTTCTGCGCATTGCAGATGATCATGTTTCTAGAGTTTATAGTTAACTTTCAGAAAAGAAAAATATGAGCCATCAGTCAGGTCGGAATATTCGTAAGAACCTTATTTTTTAAGAAAATCCAAATTTTTTCTATGTTATCAATTTAAAATTTTCGTGTTAAATTTCTAGGATGACCCGTCATCATTCTGCTTATCGGAGAAATTCGCTCTCTTTCCACAATTTATGTTCCATTTACGACGATCACAATTTTTGCAAGTATTCAATAATTCACCGGATGAAACATCTTATTATCGGTGAGTTGCACTTGTTATTCAAAAGACATTACAAAATTAGTTAGTTCTACGATATCGAAAATCGATCAAGCTCATCAGATATTGCTTTATTTGTAATTGTTGTAAGATTCGATACTCTAATATTATATTAGTTTTGGAGGATAAATTTTGTTCCTTCAGACATATTTTGATGTTCGAAAATGTGCTGGAAAGTACTACTATGATACAACCTGTATTGTTTGCTTATTCTTTTAATGGTCCACCGGAACCAGTTCTGCTGGATACGTCATCTATTCTTCCCGATCGGATTCTGTTGATGGATGATTATTTTCATGTTTTAATTTATCATGGCCAGGTTGAATTTTCGTAAAGTCTCTTATGTGACCAATGCATACTTTTCGATTTCTAAACTCAAGTTTTTTGAGAATTTCATATTTTAGACAATTGCCGCTTGGCGCAAAATGAACTATCACGAAGATCCTCAGTACAGCGCATTCAAGCAGCTACTGGAAGCGCCAATAAGTGACGCAACAACAATTTTACAAGAGAGATTCCCAATGCCACGTTACATCGTCACGGAATATGAAGGCTCTCAGGTTTGCTTCATACATTAAATTTGGAATTCTATCAATCGACGCTAAGATTGTGTTCATCATGTTTTTTTTTAAATATTAGGTTTAAAAATGCAAAAGTAGAGCTAGAATTTGCCAAATATTCTCAAGTCTCTCGGTATGATTTTAAAAAGACATGAGATGACATCTTTTCTAATTTTTATTTATTTTTTCTTGTTACAAGCTTTGCGTTTTTTATCAGCTACCACCTTTCGATATTTGATTTTATATTTATTTCAGGCCCGATTTTTATTGTCCAAGGTTAATCCATCCTTAACACACAATAATCCATATGCAGCGGTAAGATTCACATTTTTCTAATCTTTTGTTTTTAACAGGAGAAATTTTTCACATACGATATTTAGCAAACTCGAATTCATACTGAATTTTTTAGCTTTATTTGATATCATTTAACTCTTTGCTCGGTATTGTTGAATTTAATAACTGCTGCTAGTTCTATTTTTCTAGTAATGTATGTTGTGTGATTGTTTTGCCGTCGTTAGAAAAGCAGAAAAAGCTTGTGGGGAAGCTCTTCGAACATACTGAAATCCTAGTTTTTCTTTGCTCACTTCATGGTGTTGCAAATACTGAAATAGATTGTTTCAGGAAGGTGGCGCACCGGTCTTTACGGATGATGTCTCTTTACAGGTTTTCATGGAGCATCTCAAGAAATTAGCTGTTTCTTCGTCCACTTGATTATATCAGCATGCATGTGTCATTTGTTACTAATTCTGATTTCGACTGTGATATGGCTGCGAAATTAAGTCGTTTTCCAGTTGTTTTTCTCCTCAATTTCATCCCTTCTCAGTACTTGTTTTTGAATATATTGTTATATAAATTTTGGGAATAAAACTTATTCAGTTGCGAACTTAATCAGCGTAAAACTGCCTGATTCAAACATAATCAGTTACTGCAAAGCAAGCTAAGAATCTTATATATTTTGGTTTAAGACATAGAAAATTACTTCATTTTTTTAGTCACTTAAGAATCTAAAGAAAACAAACTTGCAGCATATTTCAGGAAGCAAACATTGCTGCTGTAATTTCAAAAATTTGCAGTTAGGTCAATTTATTTCTGAATGCATTGAAAAGTATCAGTGTAACTTGCAGAACTACTAGTATTTCAGGGTTGTAACTGTAGAATTGATGATTTTCAAGTTGAAATTTCCGATTCTTTGTTTTGCGTTTGTAAGAATTCTAGAAATTAGGGGAAACAGATTTACTTCCTCTGATAATTTATTTCTGTGTAGGATTTGTTTAGTGAAAAATTTGCCTAATTTGATGTATGAAATATCTGAGAATTTAAGATTTTCCTGAATTGAGAAGAGACTGAATATTAAAGAAATTGCTTTTTGAGGAAAGTAAATAAGCAGGTAAGTTGTAAAAGCATTGGGAAATGTAGAATTTCACAATCCTTTACTAACTGTTTTATTCAAGAATAATGTTTTGATCGCACTGTTTATTGTTTTCTTTTTTAACGAAAAATAACAATAATAAACAGTGCGATTAAAAAAATTTTTGCGTTGATCTAGAAATTACTTAATTTGAAATTTATTTAGTGAAACATATGAGGTACTGTTGTTATCTAAGTACAGATCATTGATCTATAATGACCCAATGACCTGTATAAACTTAAAGCTATGCCAGCTACGGTGTTCTTCCTTTTCGTCTGTATGATATGTGCACGGCTTAACTTTGATGAAAGAAATTTTTCACATTAATAAATTAATTTTAAGATATTGAGATGGACGAAATAAACAGACGTCGTATTGCAGAAGCAACGGAATGTATTCAAAAAGCCGAAGCATAGTGAGTTGATTCTTTAACACTGCAGGTCTTAGAAGACACTTTTTCGAATTATGCTAATTTTTACCATAAGCGCAATTTTAATCACATTTAGATGAACTTTGTACCGCTAAGTAATCTGATAATATTCTAGCCTGAAAACATCGATCATAAAAATGAAATTCAAGCCTGATTATGATAGTGCAGCAATGGAATATGATCGAGCAGCCATTTGCTTCAAAAATGCTTCACAAATGGAACAATCACGTGATGCTTATCTGAAAGCTGCACAAATGCATAAAGAAAATGGCAATTTATTTCATTGGGCCAAGTAAATATTTTGTCTCACAGACACAATTTAACTAATTGATTGATTGGCCTAATTAGTAGAAATAGATAATTTATCCGAAATGGTGATACGGTAACAGTCTTAGTAACTGCTTCGTACCGTTCTTGATAATATTCTAGTCTGAAAGCAACAATCATAAAAATGAAATTCAGTGCTTTTTACTGTTTTTCTCTCTTTACCTT